AAAAAAAAAAAAACAAAACAAAAAACAAAAAAAAAAAACAAAAAACAAAAAACAAAAAAATTCCGTACGGGACTTGCCGATTCACTGTACGGGACTCACCGATTCCGTACAGTGAATCGGCGAGTCACTATGCAGAATCGTCCGGTTCTCTCTAGAACCGGACGATTCCCGTTTTTTTTGCCGATTTGATCCGTCCATGACTATTCCCGAGTTGAACCGGACGAGTCAGGTTCGACTCGGCGTTTTTTAAACACTGGTTTAAAGCATAAATTTAGGCATGTTTCGTTTGAGATGTCTTCAAATTTGCGCGGTAAACACTTACTCGAAAGCATGTTTTGTGTAAGCACGATCGAGATAATACAATGCAGCAAAACATAATATGATAAGATTATCAGTTTTGAAATAATTTATAATAATGTAAGAATAATAAGTATGAATATTATTATAATATTACTAATAATATAATTTTATTAATAACAAAGTATTTTAAATATTTTAAAAAAGGAAGGATCATATACTATGAGACCATTTATCGTTAAGATGTCAAATTGGATGGTTTGGGGTGTGTCATGAAGTTCAAAAAAACGTTTTTTGAATGTCGAATGAAATGAATAACACACTTGCAACCACCCAATTTAAAATCTGATATGAGTGATTGTGACTTATTTGTACTAAAAGTAAATAGTGTCTGTATATACGTTTTTACAATAACAATGGGACATATTAATAACGTATCTTATAATAATATAAAAATATACATAATAGTAATATATTACTATTAGTAACAAAGTATCAATAATATTATTATAAAAATAATAACAATATATATTAACAACCAATAATAGTATTATTAATATTGAATTATTATAAAGATAGTAAACATTAATGTTATTATCTTAATAAGGGAAAATATCATGTCAGCCCACTAGCTGATGGAATATTATAAGCTCAATGGTCCATATTGAATCTAGACCAATCTTATGGTTACAAATGTATTTCACATTTGAATTTTAATATTTTTTTATAACTTTAAATTACTTGAAATTTGAAACATCCACTCTCCATTATCAAGGCGCATCTAATAAAAATATTAAAAACTTATTCAAAATAAATAAATGAACCAAAATACCCTTGTAACTTTCAAGGGTATTTTTGTCAATTTATTTTTTGTCAATTACTTTTTTAATATTTTTATAGTTTTGCCTATTTTTCAATAGTCGACACTCAAAATTTCAAATGAATTGAATTAGTAAAAAAAATAAAAATAAAATACAAAATACAATCATGACCCTTAGATCGCCCCAGATTCAATATAGGTTGTTGGGCGTTATTGTAGTCGTCAACTAGTGGGCTGACCTTAGACTCTCCCTGTTAGTAATAATAAAGTATTAACAATTTTATTATAAAAATAACAACATATTAATAACCAATAACGGTATTATTTATATTGAAATGATTTATATTATTATAAAAATAGTAAACATTATATCTTGGGTGCGGTTTGTATAGAGCCCGGGCTCTAAACAATCAAATTAGAGATTAGCTTCGAAAAATGTCGAGAAATGTGGTTTCAATACTGAAAATCTTTGTGATAGCGTTAAAAATATTTTCATATTTATTTATAAAGTTTAATGCTTTAAAAATAGTGTAGATTGATAGATCTATGAAAACTTGAAATCTTGAAAATTGACGGCCAAAAAATGTGTTACAAAATACACTATTTCTAGAATTTGAAATCCATTTTTTTTCTAATGTTCATGCATCTTGATGTCAAGATAATCAATTTGAGAATATTTGGGCATCAAAACAACATCTTCTAGTGAAATTTTTGAGGTAGGCTCCCATTAGGGAAAAGTTTATATAGAGTCGAGGCTCTAAAATATCAAATAAGAGCCTACCTCTAAAATTACACTAGAAGAGGTTGTTTTGATGCCCAAATATCTTCAAATTGATTATTTTGACATCAAGATGCATGGACATGAAAAAAAAATGGATTTCAAATTTTGGGAATAGTGTATTTCGTAACGCATTTTTTGACCGTCAAGTTTCAAGATTTTTAAGTTTTCATAGATATGTCGATCTACACTATTTTTTAAACTTTAAACTTTAAAAATAAAGATGAAAATATATTTTTTGGCCATCACAAAAATTTCCAGTATTGAAACTACGTTTCTCGACACCATTTAAAAGTAGGCTCTAATTTGATTGTTCGTAGCCTAGGCTCTATACAAACCGTACCCTTAACATTAATGCTATTATATTAGTAATGATAAAGTACTAATAATAATATTATTAAAATAATAATAGCATATATTAATATTGAGTATGATAGTATATTATTATGCATAATAGTAATGTATTATTATATATTACAAACTAACAAGAAGAAGAGCAACAACAATCATCATCATTTTAGCTTTTTTCCAATTAATTGGAGTCAACTACATAAATCCTAATTTTCCATTATGCTCTAATAAAAGCCATAGCCTCAGTGAAGCCATAATATATTATTGTTGTTATATTATTGGTGTAATTTGTATATGGCGTCAACTTTAAACCATCCTAGTAAATTATGCTAAAAAAATACAATTTTAGTGCACACAAACTTTGTGATGGCCTAAAAAATTATTGTCATCCCTAATTTTTAAATTTAAAGCTCTAAAAATGATACAGATTGAAAAGATATATAAACAATTAAAAATCTTGAAAATAGATATCTAGATAATACACTAAAAGATGCATCACTTTCAAGACCTAAAAGTAATCTGTTTTTTTATATATCCATACATCTCGATGTTCTTTTATATATCCATACATTTCGATGTCAAGATTATCAATTGAAGGATTTTGCAATGTCAAAATAATATTTTTCGATGGGCTTTTAAAGTGCACCTTCTTCTACAATATAAGGTTAACGTATGTGAACTTTTCTTTAGTATTTTCATTATGATATATAATAATATCAATAATATTAACAATTTGTACAATAATAATATTGATATAGTTTATAACAAAATATCATAATATTATATAATAATATTATTATGAAATATAATAATAAAAAAATCATCATATTATATAATAATATTATTATGAAATATAATAACAATATATAATAAAATTGTTGTTGTTTTCAAAGTACTATAGTCAATAAATAGCAAATCTAGATTATGCAAACATAAGATCCAATCCAAACATGAGACTTCGTAAGCTAAATATTGTTCAAACCATCCAAACAATCATATTTTAATAACCAACTCATACGATCCAAACATGAAACTAGCACAGTATAACCTAGGCATTGTTCAAAACCATCCAAACAATCACATTTTAATAACCAAGTTCTAGCAAAACTAAAGTCCGATATACTAAAGTTATGATTCCAAATCTGGGTTTATTTACTCAGGAAGCCAAACGACTTATAAATTCATTTCCATTCTTTTGTTTCAGGAACGTGGATGACCCCGTATATGGCTTCAGAGAGGGAGGGAAAGTAAAGGACAACAGGAAAAGAGAAGAGGGACTAATAATGAAAAAGCTTAGAACGAAAGAGAAAAATTTTATGTAAAATTACAACCTTCTAAAGTGAAATACACCCCAAAATTCCCCCACAAAAGAGTGTTCCGACTTTAAAGAACCCTCGAATATATCATCTCGACCTTGAGATTTGTGGATATGAAGAAAACGATTTCAAATCTTAAAAATGATGCATCTTGAAACAAATCATATAAAACATATCAAGATTTTCAAGTATTTATACATGAGGAGGGAAGGGGCAAAGAAAGGGAAGGACAATAAGAGAGAGTAATGGCAAAAGGAAAAGGTCCACAACAATACTGAGAAATTTTTTTTTTGTAAAATTACAACCTTTTGAAGTGAAACACACCCCAAAAATCCTTACAACCTTCAGAAGTGAAATACACCCCAAAAATCCCCTAGAAAAAGAGTGTTTCAACGTTGAAAAACCCTCCAACTGATCATCTCGACCTTGAGATTTATAGATACAAAGAAAAAGATTTCAAATCTTAAAAATAATGCATCTTGAAACAAATTATCTAAAACATATCAAGATTTTCAAATATTTATGCATTTGCTCAATTCGTACCACTTTTGAAATTTTAAATTTAATAACTGGGGATAAAAATAAATAAGTAATGATCCTATAAGATCCTCCCCACCCAGATGTGCCCAAAAAATCACCATTAAAGTTGGCATGGATCTCTAGAAAAGTTATCACATGGACGTGGGACTTGACTTTTCTATAGATCCGTGCCAAATTTAATGATGATCTTTTATAGGTGAGGGAAGGTCCTATAAAATCATTTCTCAAAATAAATTCTTAAGCCATTATAAGGTCCAACACCAAACTATATCTCCCAAGTAAATTGTGCAAGATACTTCTACAGCTTATACAAATCCCACCCATAATAAAACGCACAAAATTACAAATGCTATGAATACACGAGATTCTGAAATCCATCACTACAAAGTCGCATAAAACTGGTAGTCCATCAACAACAGAGTCAACAAACAACAAGAAAACTAATACAAGGGATTTTTTTTTCTTTTGGGGGGAGAAAACAGTCTCACACCAAGAACAGCATTCGCAACACAGATTTTAGCTCTGTAGGCCTTTGCAGCAACTAAATAAGACACAATAGCAAGAGGAAAATCACCCAAGTTTAAAGCTTTGAAACAAGCCCATTCTGAAGCGGCTTTGGCACCCCAATTTCCTTGAGATCCGTCTCAGTTGAACTGGGGGGAACATCCACAGCCGGAGAGCAGTTGAAGAAACCATGAGGCTGCAAATCATCAACCGATACCCATCATTAGTAACATCCTCGTACTCTATTATTCTCCAACTAAGGCAACAATGCAATTATGGTACAAGGCAGTAATTGCTCAACACTGAAATCCCTCACGCGTGACATGCTTCTTTCCCTCATGAAGGAGAGTTGAATCATTAAAAATGTTTTAACTTTTCCCACAGGTGGCAACCTATATAGAAATGCGGAGTCCAAATCTATTTAAAATAGATTTTAATCCAGTGACGAGTGCAAATTTTGGAAGCTTAAAAAAGTGAATCAAGCATGAATTGTTCATTACTTAAAATGATAAACTGAATAAATGTCCTTGAAAAACTGCAAATTGTACTTCTTATGCTGATTTTGCACCAAGCATCCCCGCAAAACAGAAATGGTGGTGCTTATCAGTGCAAAGATCAGCTATGAAGACTTGGTATCTGATCTCACATAAGCTCATTTTCAAACATCACGATCAAAATTTAAGCAATTCTACATGGCCCAAAATATATCCTTAAAATAAGGGAACAATAAACAAGAATATGACAATAATATCACACAAATATATTAATCATCAAGCCTACCATAAGCATAAACCCTATCCGATCAACAGGCATGACAGGCCAATCTTCAAGACGAGGTATGTGTGTAACTCCAAATACATACCTGTCATACAAGTTACAAATTTAGGAACAGCTGAACATAGAAAACATATATGCAGACGCAAACTAAATGAGGAATGTCTAAAGGCAGCCAGGCATTAGAAACAAGTAGGACATGCAGAAAGCCATCGTACATGTAGGAAATGCATATTCATTAACAAAATAAAAGTTTTCTTCCCTTGAGCATTTTTTTTTTTCAGAACCTTCCCTTAAGCATTTAATCCATAAATCTCATAAAGGTGATACAGTTTAATGTGACAGGAGCATCGAGAAAAGGTCTGAAATGAAAGAGATCAAAATAATCAAGTTATTGATTTTTTGAGAAGCCAACCCATATGTCACAAATCCATTTCCCTGAGAATCAATGTTCTGTACAGTTGTACAAGAGAGAGGAAAAGCTTTTTCTTCTTTTATTTCTTCGATCATTAGAATAGGAAAAATTTCTCGACGCATAATACAAAGCTGGCATCACTAAGAGTTTATGAAGCATTCAAAAGCATCCAATGGTTTGGAACTGATTGTTGAGCCATAGAAGATCACGAGACCAACAGTAAATTCTTGTTGAGACTGAAAATTAGGAGCAGGAAACTCGGGACCAGGGATATTTGAGCCATAATTGCATAAAATATTAATTAATCTTTATTTATTCAAGTTGATAAATAGATCAAGGCATCAGCAATTTTCAAATGCTTAAAGATCACAAAAGACTAAATCGTATGTTTACAAATGCAAACAGAGAGAAGTAGTAACTCATGTCACAGAGAAGGTAGATGGCCAAGAAATTCAGAAGGCATCAAGTCAAAACATTTCTTAAAGGACAAGGTTTCTATGAGTTCAAGGGCTCAATATGTAGGAATGAGTCCCTCTTCTTTACAAAAAAAAAGACCATTGCTTTCAACTTTTTTTGGAGGGGACCAAACGTGCATCCACCTTTAAGATAGATGTTTTACGCCTCGGGGGATGCAAAAGTAGGACTGCGTCCCCTGATGCGTACAACAATTTTCCTTTCTTAAATTGCATTAAATATTGCTTGAAAGACCATGCATGTCAAAGAATTGCACAACTGACCAAAGAACAATATCATTTTCTTCCAGAGGTCTATTCTGCTTCACCCATGTGGCCAAGCCCTCATCAATACGTGGATTTTGATTAGGAAACTCTCCTCCAGGATACTTTTCATCACGTTTATATGCAGTAACCCAAAGATTGTGCTTCAAGAAGGCAGCTCTCCGTAGAAACTTAGCCTCTGAACCAGCTAAGGGTAAGCAATTTGAGCCAGGCAGCAACTTATAGCCAGTTAATTGCCCAGTTCGGTTGACAGACCTGGTGTTCCGAACCTGATTAACACATACCATAACACATGTGGCACATGGCATCAGTTGAGTAACCCTTTATTGGGAAATGCTCATTATTGTCGAACAAAATCTGAAGGACAACAATAGACTCACAGATTTGGTGACAATGAGATACATGCATGGCATGGCATGCCATATAGAAGAATGTGAAATGAGGTTATGAAATTCCAATAAGTAGATAATGAGATTTTACACAATCACTGAAACCAATTAAGTATAACATTTTGTATTTCACTCCTGTACAAAGAACAAATCTTACACAACACAACCATGATGCAGAATCCAAATACCACCTCATTAATTGTCCTTAGTTCTTAGGTTTAAAATCAAGGAGGTACTGCCCTTTAGGTCATCCTTCATAAGCATAAAAAGATGCAGAATCTATTTTAAAAAAACAGGATTTTTTTAGAATCACGTGATAATAAAGAATTATCAAAATAATATCTATGACAACTTATTCTTCCAACATGAAAAAAAACTTCTAGAATAGTTAAGATTTTCAAAGTAGTTAGTTTCTATTTTATGATTCGAACAAAGCTGAAGGTTGCAATATAACTATTCATCCCCACTATTCCCCCTAAACTTTCCTGGACCATTTTCAATTGCCCTAAAGACAGGCTTACCCATCTCTGCTGCACTGTAGGAACTCCATAGGAACTAGTTCAAATTCCTCAAACAAAGGTTTTAAAGCCCACTTGCCATCAAACCCCCAAGAAGAAACTCCACCATTTTAAAAAATAAACCCAAAAAAACCTAAGAAAAAATGGTCAACTTGACAGCAGTGATGCCATATTTGTATCTTCCACAAACATATAGCAATAATTTAGAAAGAACCATAACTCACACTATTTTCCCCTTATGCCATTAAATTATATTTGAATAAAGAAGCACCAAAACTATAAAGATTGTTTTTTTATAACTTAGTTGAGAGTCTATAACTACAATTTTGACAGAGTCTATTAGAAGATTTCACAATGCATGCAGAGGACCAATCTAGAATGAAACAAAGATTCTAGTTTTTAATGATTTGAAGAGAATAACAAAATCCTTACGATCCAATGCCGAGCAGTCAACGGATTACAATCACGCATTGCTTGCAATTCTGATCTGAGCAGTTCCTCCTCTGCATAAAATGCATTGTTGTGAATATTATTCTTTCCTGGCTCCTCAACTTTGACATTCACCTCAACTACCTGGCAATATAAACATATATCTCAACGACAAAAGGTTCACCATAGAAACAAGGTTTCCTTCACTAAATGGACTGGGAAAAAAGTAGAATCATTTAGATTTGCTTTCCATCTTGCATAGATGTATTGATCAGATAAAGTGAACTACAAAGACACCATGGGGTTTGATCTCTGGATTACACTATTTCAGGTCATGATAATTCAAATTGTTCCATCTTCACAAGTGGATCATGGGCACTTTTACCATGTAAATATCATCTACATGCATTTAGAGAACAATAAAGTACATATTCTTTGATATTGGATAGAGGATGAAATGCAGAAAACTGCAAAAAGAATAAAAAACACATATAAGTAATTTGGGAAACATGCTAGATGATAGAGAAGCTTACCTGATTAAGTGCTTCCCCAGGCTTGCAATCTACAGCCATATCCAAGCGAGCAACAAAGAAGTGCTGATGAACTGGAGCATACAAGCCAGGAGCTATTGTTGTTCCATACTTCCTAGATTCACCAGGTTGCAGAGCTCCTAAGCTGAGAATTCCAGTTAACTTCACTTCAGCCTCAATTTTCCCATCCTGTGAGCCAAAAAACATAAAAAGGCAGATGTAATATTCACAGACAAAAATGTTTCTCAAATGCACATCAAAATATCCATAAGTTAAATGGAAATCAGACAATGTTTATATCATAACAAGCTTTTCACAACATACAAATGAAGTAACACCCACACATTTACTGACATAGTTTCCAAAACAAACTAAAGACAGGAAGGGATTAACCTTTAAGCCGCAATTTGTAGTTCATTTCTTTTCCTATTACTGAGTAACCAAAATAAGCTGCAAGTTCTTTGCTCAAAATAGACGCAATCATCATTAATCCTTTCATACCACAAGTCATTCAACAAACTCTTTGATGGATGGGTAGAAAGGAAAAGCTATTCCATTCAAAGAGGGCTTTCTCTGAAACATCTGAACTCTATCTTCTAGGAGATTTGGAGGGCATCACCTATGTGGGAGAGTTCGGTTTAGGGCAATGCACATCTCTTTGGTGCCTCCAAGAATTAGAGCTTTAGCGCACTTGGGATTAATAATCGGGTCTAAAATGGAGGACAAAAGCAACAAGAGATCAAATATGAATCCCTTATCTCATTATCATAAGATGCAAAAAACACGGTGACAGAGACTATGAAACTAATTCTGACATCAAAAATTTTGATATTCGTGGCCCATTGAGCATGGGACCCTTTGTTTTTTTTGGGGGGGGCTAGATCAGTGGGGAATACAGGCCCCAACCTGTTTTTAGAAATAATTAGCAGTTTTCGAATGCTTCAGTGGGAATGGAAACCTAGACCGGTAGCTGAGGCTCAAGTGTGCTACCACCATGACCTCAACCCCACCTTTTTAGGGAGAAGAAAAAGATACTGTCAATATTTCCTGAAGTAGCAGTTCAAATGAACATATATAGAAACAATACAGGTCATCCAAAGGTTTGTGAATATTCACAGGATACATAGCTACAAATAAAGTCTAGGGAAAGTATAGAATGAGACCATTTACCTTTGGTACAAGGTGGTCACATTAATCTTGGCCATTGGATGTGAAATTGGGTGGCTGCAATTATTCCATTGACCAAGCTCAAACTTCAAAAGAAATTTTCTCGAACTTTGTGACACATCCAAGCTATCAAATTTCACATCAGATGGGTGTAAGTAATTGTGACCACCTTGTATCAAAGGTAAATGGTCTCAGAATATACAATCCCTAAAGCGTTAATATTACGTTTTCCAACAGTATCGTCATTAAATAACTGGAAGTTGATCCATTCAATGAAGAACCAAAACCTGGATGCACATAGAATCAAAATCACCAAGTCAATTTTTATTACCAACAAAAATAGCATCTAACATAGGAGTAAAAAATGTCACCTGATAAAAGTGCCAAAAAAATCCATATTCGTAATTAGCCACAGTGCATATAAAAGATACAGTTAACCGTCTTGACCTCCGGACTTCTGCCAACCCAGTTCTCCAATCTTGATGTTTCCATAATATTCCATGATCTTCCTCATGCAAGCAGACACAGTTTTCAATTGTTTCCACTCCCCCAGTGAAATTTGTAAAATGAGCATCAAAATATTTGATGTAGCCTAAACAATCACAACCCTGCATCACGACAAGCATTTTTATAACTTATCAAATTTGATTTGAGTAAAATGAAGCATGAAATTTCAATGATTAAATAAAATCCATTGTAAGAGACCATCAAATACCCTTTTTAGTGAATGTGCATTTTTTCCAAGGCCATCTTCTCCTGCATCAAATGCATTCTTTCTGTAATGTGGTTCATTGGGATCCCCATAGGGAACAACCATCTCAACAAAACTTAACCTGTGGGCTACAGGTCTCCGACCCCTGCTTCCATCAATATATGCCACAGAGTATATCACTAGGCCCTCTCTAGGAGTGAAACCAATTCGGAAGTTCCACTGTGTGGGGCAAAGAAAAAGGTAGATCAAGACAAATGTTAGCAAGTCAACTTGCATCCGAAATACTTGCAGGATTTAGTGGGCAACATTATACATATAGACATGTATTGAGAATTTGGACATAAGGTATTACTCTTGGGCAGTGAAAGAAAAATCATTTCAAGTCAGAGTTTAAAAACTCACCAGAGTCAACTCAATTGTCAAGTGGGCACGTTTAATGGAGATAAAGCTCGAGATGTTTCTCAGTTTCACCTTTTATACAGTTTTCTACAATGATTGACTAATTAATGGCTTCCTTTTATGTCGTAGCATTCTAGTAGATGCTTTGCTTCTTAAAATTCTTCACACAAACTCGAAAGACTTGCCAAGTTTTCAGAGCTAACTTATACAGAGAGTTGACTCAGTTCTAACAGTTAATGAGTCAGTAAACCAGCTAGAAGTTTTGAACACTGTTATTATGTTATGTCACCTTACAACAACTAAACAATATTATGTCAATCATGTTACAACGCATAAGATCATATGCACATGCCCAAGCGCATGAAACACACTCACTGGAATTGGATTTTGGAATATAAGGTTTTTTATTTTTTAATATAATAAGAGGTTAACTTTTTTTGGGAGATTAGCATAAATTACCTATCAAAAAGTGTGAGTGTGCAAATATATCAACCAACAGAACATGCAGCGTACCAAAGTGTGGGGATCAAAATAACTTAAATTAGCCCTTGAAAATAATAAAAGACAACTAGATTTTGGTATCAATAATTATCAAGAAAGCAGTTTATCATATGAAAATATAAAAGGAATATATATATATATATATAAAATATTCGCCCACACATGAAATATCATTCCTTGAGTGCGTATGTCAAGCAATACATCTATTTCCTTGTTTCAAAGAATCCAATATGATTGAATTCATCTAAATGTCTAGGTTTCAAAGTACTTATTTCCAATTCAAAATAAACCTATAAGAACTATGAGCCAAGCAGAACATAAATGTGAGATAATGAACTAGGTGTTGAACTATGAGCTGAAAGAGTTGTCAGAGAAGTTAGACAACCATGGTTATAATTTCACCAGGACACCAAAACAAATTTCGATTCCAAAAATATCAACGAATAGACATACATTCACATATAACACATGGATGAACACATATTAACATGGACCAACAGGCAGCTGATCTATCCAGAAATACTACCGCATTCAATGTTTTAAAAAACGGCCCGCCTGGCGCCTAGGCGGCCTGGACAAAAAATCCGCACGCCTAGACCGAGGAAACCCTATAGGGGCGGATGTACCTGGGCGGGCTAGGCAGGCCCCCAAGACCGTAAGGCCTTTTTCGTTTTTTTTTTGGGCGAAAAGAGCAAAGAGGGTCATGTTGACCCCAAAGTTGTATAAAAACGTTATGGGGTTTATATTTAACCCCTAAAATGAAAAAAAAAAAACTCAATATATGAAAACCCCCAAAAAAAAAACTCAATATATGAAAACCAAAAAAGTACTACTGCAATTCACCTTCTGCCATTCCACAAAATATCCATTAACCCGAAAACTTGGACCCTCTGGCTGAAGGATGTGAAGGGGTTTAATATCACTTCGATCAATGCCCCCTCGTGTCTCTCCAGGGGTATAATTCCTCAAAGGGTCAGCTGGGGGCAAGGGAACTAACTTTCGGTCCTCAAACTCAATAACAACCATGTTTTGCATATCAACAAGTATATGAATTCCTTCAACGGGGCGTGCATATCCATTCTCCATTGGACAGTCACTTTCAGTTCTACAGAAGATAAGTGGTTTTGCAAGTCTGCGACTTGGGGCATCTGCATCACTATGATAACCAACACACCTGCAGAGAGAATGAATGTTCAGAACGACAGATATGATCATCCTAAGTGTATGCAAATGTCAAGACACACGACATGAGAACATAACCCACCATGCATCGACCATTACAAGATCCATGTCCTCTATACCCCTCTTTTTCATTGCCTCCCTGAAAGGAGGATAATCCTTGACAACAGCTTCACACTCGGCATATTCCACAGCATCCTGCATTTAGCAAACACAATAGCTTGCATAAGGAATTCAAATTTCAGAGCTACTATACTCTGCATCAAAGATCTAACAACATTTTTATACTCATTGTATATTATGGAAACCTTTAAGTACCATACGGTCATGCAATTTCTAACAGTAGATTTTAGCTATCTGCATAAAATATTTGATTTAGAAATGCAAAGAACGCATTAAAGGTGAACTCAGGGACACATGTCAACGGATAAAGCAATGCAGCTCTGTGATATGTTCTTAATTTTGCAATTTGCAAGAGAATAGGCTAGTTAGTGGTAGATAACAACAACACGTAACTCTCTATTATCACAGATACATCCACCACAAGTTTCAGAAGTTACCACAAGGTGAAAAGAAGTTAAAAACTTGAACAAGAACTGTTTTGACCATACTGAGGTGAATAACTTGAACAAAGTAGACTGCATGAGGAACTTCCAGTTATATACAAGCCAAACCAATGAGACAATCACTAACTAATATTATTAAGGTAATTGCCCTAGATAATACTCGTTTTTCAATTAGTGGCAGCAAATGATATGACAGAGGAATTACTTGCAAAGAACATCATCTTGTAGTCTAGTTCTGAAAGAATCAGGATAGTAAATTAGGATCTACTGAGAAAATGGCTATGGAGACAAGCATTTTTTAGGAATTGAATCAGAAATGGTATGGAGATGGATCACAGCAGGTAAATATTGGCACAACAGGGAAAGATGGCGAGTAAGGCAGCTGGGGACCCTTGACCTGTCTAGAGAGGCATCACCTGTGGGGACTTTCTTCTACAGTAACAAGTTCAGTTTGTGGACACCCTTGAAGGGTCATTTAGGGCTGATATTTTGCATGGGAAAGTGCCTTTCAGGTCCATTTCCGAAGACTCAATTTTTTGAGGGAAGGGATAGGAGAGCGAACTGGTAAAAATGAGTGCTTCGAGCATCATACAGGCAGTGCTTTGTGCCCAAAATGTTGCAGGGACCCAAGGGAGGACAGTGTCAATAAGGTTCCTGCAGTGATGTACTAACCTAAGAGGAGTTTGTTCCAGTGTCAGGACTAGAAAACCTAATTTCAAAACGGGGTGGTATTCTCTCTATTAAGTCCTTCACATGCCTCCTTAACATGCATGCAAGTATTGCAACCTTAGGCTTCCTATGTTTGGTAGTTCATAGCCCTTCCAAGTACTTAATGCTTCAGATAGTTGGCAACTACAAACAACACTCAGAGAATCCAATTTACTAAAGTTTCCAGTCTGTGGGGAGGCCGAGGAGAGGATTGATCACCTCAGGACTAGAAGCCTCCTATCAAAATGGGGCCATATTCCCTCTATTAAGTGCTTCACTACCTCCTTAACATGCATGCAAGTATTGCAACATTAGGCTTCCTTTGTTTAGAATTTCCCTACCCTTCCAAGTGCCTAATGCTTCAGATGGATGGTAACTTTATGCAAATAAAAATATCTTTTTAATTATTTTTTTTATATTTTTCTAGGACCTAGAAATATATTATTTGGAGTTTTAGTTTTCTTTAAGGTTATTCTTATCTTTTCAGTTGTAGAGATTTAAGGGGTAGAATTGTAAGTTTAGTTTTTTTTTTTAAAAAAAAGATGGATATGGATAGGGGCATGGGGCTTAGCATGGTTTGGTTGGTTAGGATATGTTAGATTTGTTTTAAAAGATATGGGGGAGATAGAGTTTAATTTTCTATTTTTATTTTATTTTTGTTTATTATTCATTTTAGTTTGCATCTAAAGGGTAGAGGTCCCTTCATTGTATGATGGTGAATGGAAAATAAAGAAGGTGTTTTGATCTTGTGAAAAGAACTAGGGGTGGACCCCCTTGCAGACCTAGAGATGTGTGATGCAGTATTTGAAATCCAACACTGTGAGTCTGAAGGAGAAATCAAGATTAAGCTCGAGATCCTAGTATTCTCCACTTCAAGTTGCGCACAATATATGTGATGAATTGGTTTATTTAAGATAAAGTACAGAGAAGAATGGTGGGACTACCTCACCAATTATTTGATTGGCCTTTTAAGAAGTAAGCTCGAGGTCGAGCTTCTCCCAACCCCGGGAGAATGATGCAAATAAAAAAATGATTTTTTCAATTTTTTATTTTTATATATTTTTTTAGGACATAGAAAATATGTTATGTGGATTTCTAGCTTTCTTTAGGATTATTCTTGTCTTTTTAGTTGTACAAATTTAAGGGGTAGAATTAACAGTTTAGCTTTTTAAAAAAAGACGGATATGGATATAACTTAGCATGATTGGGTTGGTTAGGATATGTTAGACTTGTTTTTAAGGGATAATTTTATTTTATGTTAGTATTCTAATTTTATTTTATTTTTATTTATTATTCAATTTATTTTGCATTGAAAGAGAAGAGGTCCCTTCTTTGTATGATGGTGAAAGGACAATAAAGAAGGTGTTTTGATCTTGTGAAAAGATCTTGGGATGACTCCCTTGCAGACCAAGAAAGTTAGTTTAATATATTAACCTTTTTAATTATATTTATTTTATTCTGTTTATTATTTTCTCCCTGCATCATAACTACGGACAAGACTCAAAGAAATCGATTTCCTAATGTTTCCAGTCTGCAGGGAGGCTGAGGTGAGGATTGATCATCTTAGGCTCCATAGCGCATTTGCCGGTCCCTCTTAGATCTTTTTGGCATGAAAAGGTGATGTTGATTTTTGTAGCTGGCCTTCTTTAAAAGTGGGATCTAGTACCCAATTTTCTCCACAATGTTCCCACTCTATCAAAGATGTGCCTAGTAAAAATTCTATGGAACATTTGGTTAGAAAGGAACAGGAGAATAATTTTAAACTCAAATCAAACAAGTGAAATTGATAGAAGAATATATTAGGGACAAAGTGCTCTTAGGGGATTATGGTCCTCGAAGAATTCAACTAGATGGAGGGCTTAAGATTTGGTTTACCTATGGGTGTTCCTAACTAGCAAATTAATTTATGTTGACTAATGCCATGACAGTTGGAGAGCTCTCAAAGATGTGCCTTTAATCATAGTTTTGACGGGAGTTTCTGAGGCAATGCAGGTCCCACATGAGACAGATCTTTCTAGAGACTCGGAAAGCAAGATTCTTTTAGCTTTTAAACACCCTGTGGGATCGGATGACACTACAATAGTACAACCGTAGATATAGGTGTCCCACTTATTGACTTCCAACATTTTCCTAACGCTTGAGCAGTGGTGCCGCTTGAACACCATTATGTTTCATACATATGAGAGTTGCCATTCCCCTGAAGATTGGTGAGGTGATGTAGGTGTAGACTCCAGCAATGAATTGATGTAGAGTTAAGCAGTGAATTGAACAATTCAATAAATCCCGGAGGTGAAATGATGTGTCCATAAAAGATGCATTGGTAGGGCATCTTTGGATAAAGAAGACAAGTGTCAGATAACAGAAAATAACTAACAAATACACTCGACTTTGAAGCACAAAATACATGATCAAATTGGCAAGAGGGGTACTGAAGCAGTTCTACCCATGTTCCTGTAAACCTATAAGCACAAATGCTTGCAGACAAAGAGAATGTTTGCTTATTCTAAAACAATGTACATATTAGAAATATCACCAAACCACTATGTTTAATATGATGATTGAAGTTGTTAATGTACCGACTCCATGAGGTATTTAGATTCTAAAGTTTATCATTTGCTTGCAAATAAAAACTAGTGAGTACGAATAAGCGAATTTGTCTCCAAAACTAAAATTCATAGACCAACAAAGTTTTCCTACAGGCCATGGTATTCAAACTGCACCACAATGACCAATGACGCAAAACGAGCAGAAGAGTAAGGCCAAAATGCAATGAAGGACATAATTGTACCATAGGAGGCTGAACATCTGGAACCACTTCAGAGGATACCGCCTTTCCTCTGTGATGGCCACCTCGTGTCGCTGCATGAACCTCAGTAAGTTCCACGATCCAGATACTTGTCTCATTTGACTTCTTGTTGTAGACAACAAGCCTAGCTCGCCTTGGAGGAAGCTTACTGGGAATCACAGGGCCACCTTTGGTTTTGGGGAGTAGAGAGGGTTGGAAAGGGGGGAAGAAGTACGCATCTGCCAATGCAACCACACTCTTATCTGGCTCCCACAATACCACTTCAATAAACCTCATGCCATCCCTCACCTGCAAAAAGTCAATTAAAAAGAACAGAAGAAACAACCAAATCTTTTAGAAATTGATTAAAATCAAAGTCACCTATACAATACTTTTAATAGAATAACTAACAAAGAAGTTTATTTTACAACCTCTGGCGTTTTCCCAGCAGCCCTGACAGTAGCCACCGCCACTGCAATCTCCGCCGCGGAAAGTGGATCCAATGGATGCCTGGTTTGAGCCCTCATCATCACATGTATCCCAGCACCTTTAATATAAATTTTGCATCAGGAGATCAGACTAAGATGGGAGAAAGAGACAGTACATCTTCAGTAACCCATGGATATTTTTTTTGATAAAAGTAACCCATGGATATTCTTATCATTTGAGTAAATAAATAGAGAAAGAAAAGAAAGAAGAGGCAACTTTGAATGTAGAACAAAGCCCCAAACCCCTCTTATAAAAAAAAAAGAAAATGAAGTCCCAAACCGCATCCCTCGTTACAACCAGATGTGCTAAACCACTAAGTACTCTGACATTTCAAAACCGTACAATCCATATAATTTTGAGGGAATTCAAGCATTTCAGACCCAAAAAAAGAACAAAAAAATTAATAATGGTGTCTACGCAATCACCCAAATCTAAATCGTTATCCACTGACCAATCTTAAAGCACAGAAAAACTCACATTGGTTCAGCCATAACAGTAACGGGAAAATAGCAGTAAGAGTGACAACATAACAATTCTAGTTGAAGAATTCACAAATAAAATAATCATGAGCCATAAAGCCTAATACAAGAAGATCCAACCTCTGGGAATAAACCAAATTGATTCAGCTGTAGCAATAATGGAAAAACAAGAGAATACAGTGACACTAACAACCCAAATCAACTAACCTGCAAAATAAATAGTCATCAATTCATGACATCAACATCTTCACCACACTGCAATTTCATCAATCCACTTATAAATCCGAACAATTCATACAACCCAACATAAAAAGATCCTATCTCACAGAGAATAAAAAGTCCAAATTAATTCATTTGAAACAAAAAATGGAAAGACAGTAGACAAGTAATGACAATGACACCTCAAATTCATTGATGCACTCATTAATCACATCAGTTCTATAAAACCCAACACAAAAAGCTCCTAGGCAACAAAAAAATAACTCAAATTGATCCAACTGCAACCCAAATAAGAAAACAAGAGAAGAAGAAGAAAACAAAACTCAAATTCATACATCCCCCAATGAATAATCACTGGAACAGCCACATTTCATTAACCCCCGAATAAATAATCACAAGTGATAAACCAAACTCAATAATATAACAAAACCGAACTCTCCTTCATCCAACTCCACAATTATGAAAAAAAGGTGGCCCATCATAAATCCCAATACAAGCATCCCAAATACATAACAACATCAAAACTCTCACATTAATCCAGATAGATTCATGAAAAAGTAACATCGAAGAGAGAGTAACAGAGAGAGGGGCAAAGAAGTGAGAAAGAGAGAGAGGACCTTTAGCAGGCGGTTCGTGGAGCGCATCAACAGGGTGAATCAAACCAGTTAGGGCGAGATTTTGCTTCTCATCTGTCCATTCAGGCACCTCTGCAGAAACCGCCTCTCTTGTGAGAGGAGCAGAGGCGGCCTTCTCCACCACGACAGAGGAGGAACGAGCTCCTTCTCTCGACTGCGCATTATTACCACCAATGGCTCCATTAGAGGTGCAACAGAGCGTCGCTTTTTCCTGAGTTGTGGCCATTGCAGGGGATTTGCAAGCTCTCCGAAACCGCCGTAGTAACTGGCGTTGTTACAATCTGACATACAGCAAACCTCTCTGTGCACACTGACCCTCGACCCAACCCCCTCTCTCTCCTCTATTCTCTCTCTACTTTTTCTTGATCCCCACAAAACAAGTAAAATGGAAACAGCTCAGGAAAGAACGCACATAAGAGATCCACTGTTCTTCCACAGTCACGACACTCCTCTCACACTCTCTCAATCTCTCTCTCTCTCTCTTCAATGGAGTCCGGACACAGGCTCTATTCTCTCTCTTCTCTGCGTTGATCGGGAACGAATCTCTGGAGAGGTACCAGCCACCAAAAATGGCAGTCGCTTTCCTTCTCTCTCTAACTCCTACAAAAACTCTTGCTTATCACATAGGTTTCATCTCTCTCTTTCCAAAACCCTTCCTTATCATATGCCACCCGACCGCCACATACTTATATAGTTGGCTTTCACGTGCATCACACCCATTTCCAAACTAGGGGCGGCAATGGGTCGGGCCCACTCTATTCCCCTATCGTCTTGCCCAAGCCGAGCCTTGGCCCAATTATGACCATAGTCGGTAATAAATGGGCTCGCCATGAAATCGAAAACTAATCATTTTTAAAATAAGATGTCCCCATGAAAAAAATGGGTCAAAAACACTGATCTGCAAAAATCTTCATGTAAAGAAATCACGAATATATATATTAGAAATTTTAAAACTCTAAATATATATATCACTCAACATAAAAAAATTAATAGTAGTGAGGAGTAATAAAAATGACCTCCCTATAAATATAAATTCCAAATCTTCAATGTGATATGTTTCTAATCATAGGATGGTTATCTATTCTATTCGTCAAGAGAAGTATTGGTAGGTGAATTCAATTTTCATCTTTTTAAAAAGAAATAATCTACTCATACTTGCTAATATATATCACTCAACGTAAAAATGACCTCCCTATAAATATAAATTCCAAATATTCAATGTGATGAGAATGGTTATCTATCCTAGTCGTCAAGATAAGTATTGGGTAGGTGAATTCGGTTTTTATCTTTCTATAAAGAAATAGTCTACCCCATACTTACTAACTACGGTCTACTCATAACCTCCTGAATAAATACGTACCATACCTATAGCAAAGAACCAGAGAAAGTTTAGGGGAGAATAAAAATAAAATAGAAATAGAAATTTCATAACACAGGAAAAAGATATTTAACTTTCCAAAAAAAAATCAGAGTATATTAATAGCAAACCTTTTTTCAAAATTTGAAAAAGTGGCATTTTAAACTTCTTCCTGAAAAACATCATATTTTTGCTCATCTATTGAAAAATTTGTAGATTAAATCGCCCAAATTTTTAAAAAATTCATGACTAAATCGGCAATTTGCTAACTATGATCATGATTGGGATAGGACGGGTTGGGTAAAATTAAAAAAAAAACAAAACAAAAAATAAATAGATAAAAAAATACGAGCCGTATCCTATTGAATCTTAAATGGTAATGACCTTTAACTTTCTCTTAACCAGTCTCATGCTTGTGTAAAAAGGTTGGGTTGTGTTAGGCAAACATCCAATGTAAAATTTTGCCAAAACTTATCATGAATTCTGAACTATGAAATTGAATGGTAAGTTCTATAGGAGAACTGTAAGACCAGTTTTGCTCCATAATACGGAATGTTGGGTAGACAATAAAATAATATACCCATAGAATGAGTGTTGCTGAGATAAGAATGTTGAAATGGATGAGTGGCAAGGCAAGATATGGTAGAATTCGAAATAATTTCAGATAATTTGAATGTGATATCAAAAGGACAAAGGGTAAGCCTAAAATGACGTGATTGGAAGTATTGAAAAATAATTAAAAAAAATCGATTGAAAATAATATAAAGAGAGATAAATATGAAAAAAGATTTTTGTTGTAGAGCTTGTGGGTAACTAGAGAGAGGAACAATGGCTTTGAGTTTTTTCTCTCTATCCTGTAATGGGTGAGTGAACTCCTTTCATAAGCATGGGAGTTTATCCCCTTGTCACATATCAATATCTCTAGCCATATCAATAATTAAGCGTTTTTTTTTTTAATTATTCTTTTTTTTACCCCAAAGAAAAAAACATTCGGTTTAATGTGACCATTAGAATATTCATTGATGGATAGTTAAGAAAAAAGAAGAAAGAGAATAAAATTTACCATAAAAGATAATCAAAAGATTTGAATACAATGAGATCATTATAGTAAGTATTTAATATAATTAAATTGAATTAAATATATTTAAAAATAGAAGGTAACAGATGGACTATGAATACTATGGTGGTCATGAATCGTTAGTAGTCATACTCCAACATGAAGTAGTCTGAAAAAATATGGCGACTTATAGTCTCACTGAAAGTATGGTCTTTAATAAAAACCATATAGCCGATATCAATTAATTAAAAAAAATTATGATAATAATAATGACCAGGGTAGGCCTTTTTTTGTCTTAGCCCAGCCAAATCCTCAACCACAATTTATAACCTAGGCCCCACAGTTTTTAGGGGCGGGTTGACCAGGCCGGGCCCAGCCAGGGGGCCTACTGCCACCCCTATCCAAAACCAGGAGCATGCCAAGAAATTGAGTAAGAGCACATCTCACCTCCTTTTCTCTCTCTAAATAGATTAATGTACTCTCTCTCTTAAAAATTGTATAAAAGTTGGAACCGCCTTATATGATAGGAGCGCGCGCATGTATCGAAAAGACAATAATGCAAAAGAAAAAATGTGCGGGAACGTAGGTCCGGATGCATAGGATATATTCAAGCTTGAGTTGTCCAATTGCGGGTTCAATTTGTGGACTGCTGAGTAGACCACCACTTTGATAAGAACACTTTATCTCTCTAGATTCGCTTTCTCTCTCTAGATTTCTAAGTCCCCTAATGTTTTTTTGGTGAGAGGGAGACGCATCAGCCACCACCAAAACCAAAGCAAAAGTTAGAGAGAAAAAGAGGGGCTTATAAGTAAAGTTAGAGAGAGAAAGAGAGGGGCCTCCTCTTATATAAATTTTGACTTGATGAACACATCATGGTGCAGTAATATACACCCACAACAGTGACATTTGAATTGGCTTTATGGGGTTTACTTACCAAAGAGGAGTGAGAGTGAGTGGTGTGAAAGGGCAACTCCTGATTTCCAAAAAAAAAAAACTTTGTTTTTATTTTTGGATTTTAGGGCATGTCTCCAGGAATGGAAGGCCTATTGATTTCTAAAGCTCAGAAAGGAAGGGCATTAGAGGGATATCCTCTTGTGTGAAAAAGGGGGAATGTTGCAACCTTAAACGATCAAAGGCGTAGCTCCAAATTTTATCATAAAATGTAATTTTGGTGTAAAAAATACTTAGGATTATCTGAAAATTTACTTTTATAACCAATTATAAAATTTTAAAATCCAAAAACTGTTAAAATCAAGTAGATCTATAAACCTCGGGCAAAGCAACACGGGAATCAATCACCCCGTGTCGATTCCAGTAAAAAAAGCCGTATCGTCGGGTTCTAGAAAAAGGGGAATCGGTCACCCCGTGTTAATTCCAGTAAAAAAAGTCGTATTGTCCGGTTCTAGAGAAACGAGAATTAGTCACCCAGTGTCAATTCTTGGAAAAAACGCCGTATCGCCTAGTTCTAGAGAAGAACCGGCGAGTCTCTACACTGAACTGCCCGAGTCTACAGTGAACTCCCCGACTCAATGTACATAATCAATAGATGATATCGAGTTAATGTACATAATCGGTAGATGACATCATGTACACAATCTACATTTGTTTTCAATTTTTTTGACATCATACACACAAGGGAAAATTACATAAATGTCTGTTTTAGTTTTCGTTATTACAAAAATACCGAAAATTTTCCATTATTACTAATATGTCCATTTTTTTGGACTTCATAACCATTTTTTCAAAAAAAGTCGAAACTACTCATTTTTCGGTTTCTCAAAAACCGAAATCAAGCCAATATCGGTTTTTGAAGAACCGAAAATTTAAAATTTTCGTTTATTCAATAACCGAAATTTTTTTCTCTCTTGGCTATGTATTCTCTCTCCATCTCTCTCTACATTACATGGGTAAAAAATAGATTTTTTTAAACTCTCTCTCTCCCCTTCACCCAACATCTTTTTTTGGTAAGTTTCACCCAGCATATTGAGAGAGGAATTTGGCCTGGTTTGGATATTCCCATAGCTCGAAGAGCTTGAATTGACAAGAGATATCTTCTTGACGGTAGGGCATCATGGGCTGGGTCATCCACTTTCCATTCTTCTGGGCTCAAACTAGTTGTTCTCCTTATTCAAATAACTATAACTTCAGACAGGTAGAGAGAGAATACGTCACAAGAGAGAGAAAACGCCACAAGCAAGATAGAGAGAATATAGAGCACAAGATTTCTTCTAATATTCTAATCTCATAATCCCTAATATTTATCCTAAATTTAGGGGCTCAAACTAGTTGTTCCCCTTTGATTTTATCGGATAACTATGACTTCAGTGAGGTATAACTATGACTTCAGTGAGGTATAGAAAGCATTTTTCGGTTCTTAAATAACTGAAAATTTTAAAATTTTCAGTTATTTATTGGGTTTTTCAAAAACCGAAATTGGTATGATTTCGGTTTTTGAAACACCGAAAAATGTGTAGTTTGGTCTTTTTTTTTAAAAAAATGTTATGAAGTCTAAAAAATGGACATATCAGTAATAACAAAAAATATTTGGTAATTTGGTAATAACGGAAACTAAAAAGTATTTGGTATTTTGTTAAATTTTATGTTCTTCAACCACCGAAATTTTAAAATTTTCGGTGTTTCAAAAACCGAAATTGGTATGATTTTGGTTTTTGAAAAACTGAAAATGGGTAGTGACCAATTTCGGTTTTTGAAAAACCAAAAATGTGTAGTTTTGTCTTTTTTTAAAAAAATTGTTATAAAGTTTTAAAAACAGACATATTAGTAATAACAGAAAGTATTTGGTATTTTGGTAATAATGGAAACTAAAAAGTATTTGGTATTTTGGTAATAACGGAACCTAAAAAGTATTTGAAATTTTGATAATAACAAAAACTAAGTACTTGGTATTTGGTAATAACGAAAACTAAAACAAACATTTGGTATTTGGTAATAACGAAAACTAAAACAAACATTTAGTGACCATCATGAGACCCCATATCGCATTCATTCGTGAACAATATACTAGTCCTCAAGTATTTTATACATTTGAAATGTCTTTGAAGTTTTCGATGTGGGACACTTCCCATAGCAGCTTGATAACAAAGTTTGTAACCATTAGCGTACAATTGAGCAAACCATGCGACCAATTAAACCATATGTTTAATTAAACCATTAGTTCTTATAGACTTTAGTTTATTATAAAAAATATTTCTTAAATTAATAAAACAAGTA